TTTGTTTCAATTCTGTTGCCTTTGATATGATGGTGATATTCAAAATGGTTACCGGCGCCGGAATTTGGAGAGATCGAGGCGGTGGGTCAGACAAGGAGTTGAGATCCAATGAGGGTGGTGCATTGGATCAAACACTATTATTCCATGCACATGGGGTGTATTCATAGTGGGAATTACAAATGGTTTTTTTTTTTTTTTAAATTATTGTAATTTTGATTAATTTATTGGCTAAAATAAAACAAAAGTAAGTAGGGTTGGACATTAGAGAGAGAGGAGAGGTTAATTCGCACAAAATAAAGGTTATTCTAATATGTGAGTTAAAGGTATAACAAATTTGTTTTTGGGTTATAAATTTATAAAGTTTTAATTTATTAATATTTAATTAAATTTATTTCTATGGTATTGATAATAAAATTAACGTTAAATTTTTATTTTTTCATATAAATAATGCAATTTAAATTGACACATTTAATTCCATACTAAATACACATTTTTGACGTTTTTTTGCTTTTCCATGAATAGGTTACAATGGTGTTTTCAAAAGTTTATAGGGACATAAAAATACAAGTACAACATTTTAGAATAACATTAACACTTTAAAATATGACAAATACTAATCACCCTATAAGGATCAAATAAATTTTTGTACTTTTTAAGTTAATTTCTTGAAAAAATAGGGAGAAATAGAAAATTGGTATTTAGAGGTTTAGTTTTTTTTTTTTTTGGTGGATATAGCATATTACATGTAGTCAATTACAAACTTTGAAAAGTAATGAGAAGACAATCAGTACATGTAATATGGTACCAACAAGAAGAAAAATGGGAAGTGTAAGAATATATAATTGTTGAGCCCAGATTTGGCCTTTCATGGAGTTTTGTATGTTGGCTTCGAATCCTCCAAATGCATAAATCTGGACACTAGCTGGAGAGCTCTCAATAATTGTGTATAGTGCATGTGAGGCGGTGAAACGTACGGCTTAGGATTTTTTTTGAATTTACAGGGATAATTCATATGGGATCTCGATCTAAGGCCACTTGTAAATTTTTTTAGAATATATGGGTGGCTAAAAAAGTACGACGAAAATACTATATTTACCATATCTTCTTCTCCATACCTTGGGTCAATTCTATCTTTGAAAGGTCAAGTGCTAGGCTGTTGTTATGGACATCAAAAAAAAAAAATTTTTTATTAAAGCTATTAAAATTGTAATTTTTTTTGTTTATTTTTAGTAAATTTGATTTTTATTTTTTCAAATATAAAATTTAAATATAAATTAAGCAATTTATTTGAATAATAATTTTACTGATAATTGTAGTTTTTTCTTAAATAGATAATTATGAAGTACAAAATATCAGTTTATAAATTAATTTTAATTTATTAAATAACAAATATCATTTGCTCTATCAATTATTAATTATTCTTAACAATAAAATCAAACAAAATTTTCCCTGTAAATTTTTTAACATAATTTTTGGTGGTTTTAACAAACAAATTGGTGACCATAACTGCACCCAGTGCTACAAGTACAAAACTTCTAATCCTTTTATAGCATTGAAGTTATAAAAGTCAAAATTTTCGAGCTTTCAATTCATAATTTGAAAGATTAGAGCGCTTTTATTTTAAATAGATGAATTATATATATATTAATTTACTATTTTAATTTTATTTTTTATTGATATTTGAGTGAATTGAATGTATTTTATTGGATTTTATATGGTTTTTATTATTTGTTCAAAAAAAGACTTGAATGCATGAAATTAGAAATTTTTAGACTTAAGTGAAATTCTTTCAAAAGTTTATGGACTAAATTTCAATAAATAAGGGATCAAATTGAATAAAATTTAAGTAAAAGGATCAAATTGCATAGGAACTGAAAGTTGATGGATCAACAATGTCATTTTGCCATTAAAGGAATCCAACACGTGAATAGACAATGCTACGATGAGGATGTTGCTTGACCCAAAGCTGTGGGATTTTTTTGAATTTTTTTTAAGAAGAAATGATGATAATGACTTTAAAAAATAAATTAGAAAGATTTTTAGTGACATTAACTCTTTCAAATTTGAAACGCATATGTTGAAAATGTCAATTGACTTATAAGAGAGAAATTAGTGAGGGAAAATATGTCAAGTGTCAATTTTAAGTATATTTCTTAATTTATACTTCTTTTAATACAGGACAGGATTTTCATTTTTTATTAATTATTTTGCTCAATTTTCTTATGTTATTTAATCAGGTGAGTTAATTATTTCCAACGTAAAAAATTTTGGGAAAGAAAAAAAGCGAAATCCAAAAGTTGTTGCCACCCATTTCTCTTTTTATACTTCTTTAAGGGTGGAGTTATATTGTTACACCCAGTAATATTAATGCCACTGCTTTAAAGGTTATTTGATTATATATATTGCCCATTTGATATATATATAGCTTGTACATGGCCATACATAATATGTAGGATTGGTTGCACTGCTAGGGATTGCATAGTGATGATTTTTTAACAGGTTAAGGTATGATTGTAGTGTACCAAGCTTTTTGTTAAGTTGACTTTCCATTTCTTTTTTATAAATTCCTCTCTATAGATTTTAAAAGGAAAACTATTTGAGCGTGGTGTTGGTTGGAAATTCTAGGCTTATATTTTGCTTTCAATATTCTTCATTTGTTTAGAATACATGCTTAAAAGCATTGGTTAGTTTTTATGGCTTGAGAAAAAAAATGATCAGGGAAAGAACTGAGCTCACAATTTTACCGTATTAGTTAATTAATTAGAGATAGGAAATATGCATTGATATTTCAAACTACATTAATTGACATTATATTGAAAATTTTTTGTACTTTATTAATTAATCACTAGAGCTTATTTTTATACTATCTTTTTTAAAATTTCTTACATATGACATATGAATTGTTGCATCAAGATGCAAATATAGACAATAAATGTAGAGAACGATGCATGTTCAACCTTCTAGTGAAGTGAAACAGGTTATGTTGCATGTGGCTTTTATTGTTTGGTTGGTTTGTGTTCAGTTTGTGTGCTGTATTTTTCAATGGGTAGGACTGTAGGAGTACCATTTATACTTTATTTCAACAAAATTTGATTTTGCTAATAAAAAAAATATTGCATGTGAATTACGGGGATTTGGAGCAGGTTGTATTGCAAATTATATGTTTCAAAATCTACATCCAGGGGAGTTGGGGTTTTTTTGCATCCACCTTTTCAGTTTTCATTTCTCAACACGGAGAACAAAAACTTTCTTTATGAACAAATTGTGGCCAGGAGCTAGAAATTTTTTTAGGAGGGAGGCAAAAAATTAACCAAATTTTCACCACAAAATAGTATGTTTGTGTGTCAATTAAAAGTCAATGAAATAATTTTTTAAAAAACAAGATATTATTTTAAATAAAATTTGTCAAATTTTAACAATAAATTATGTTAATTGGACAATAATTGGTATACATTCGGTTCAATACACTATACAACACACTGATTAAAAAATTATTATTTTTTAATCTAAAATTAAAGACAAAAGAGTTTAAAAATATAATCATATATATAGGATACACTACAAGAAAATCCACATTTAGTAACTAAATTATTGATCATTAAATCTTTATTTTTCGTCACAAATTATTATTAGTGATAAAATTTAAACCATTAGTAAAACCCTTGTCACTAATGCTCTTAATGACAAATTAAGCATCTGTCACAAAAAATAATTTTATAGTGATAAAAAAAATTGACATCGTTAACAAGTTATTTATAATAATTTTATTCGTCATAAAAAAATATTCGTCACAAATGCAATTATAATGCAAAATTTAGTTATTAATTATTAAAATTGATATTAAATAAAAACGATATTTATATAATTACAATACAAATATTTTAACAAAAATTTTGTC